ACATCAGACAAGTTTGCCACCATCGTCTCCGGCATGTTCTTTCGATTCCGTTTTGCACCTCTCCAACTGACTAAAGCCCTCGTACCCATTCAGCTCTCTGCAGCCGTCGACTTTAACTCTCATGCCATCATTCTCCTCCCACCTCTCAAATGTCTTCTCAGAGTGGCAGAGTCTCTTTTCTGGATGTTCTTGGCAGCCATCTGTTCCTCCACATTTCGTAAAAAATTTCTCTCAGAAATAATATGTAGCACCCGCGTTACGGTTACTAGTTCACTACTCTGAAATATTTGTATAGTAGTTCAGAAAGCTAAACAAACTAAATACTAAAATAATAAGAAACACTACTTCTTATCTGATAAGTACTAGTTTTATAAATAAAAAGTAATCATTTTCTCGCAAGAAATAAATATAAAATACAAATATTAAGCAAATAAAAGCAACTAAAAATAACTATTGCTTTTTAATGCAGTAGTACTTAGCAGAACCAGCATGTTAATCTTTCTCATATCCGAGAATCAAACAATAAAAAATACGTAACATCATTCTCTGGTAGTCACGAGTCTTCTTATAGACACTCTCAACCTAACATAATCCAAACTCAATATGCTCCATTGTCTCCAAATACGTACCATCGTTTCAGATCCATAAACCACAATTATTTCCAATGACGTGTACTCATAAATAGATCATTAGATCACAATTTGATCACAAATAGATATTTTTGTCTCCTTCTGCATCATCCATAAGTCATGCTTTTAAGATGAACACAATCTCCAATAGACAGTCTCACATCTGTTTAATCTTCAGATAGACTTCCATGTTTGGGAACAAAAAAAAAATTGCGCTGATTCAACCATAACTAAAATCCGATTAATACAATAGTCCTGACGATTACACAATGCTTCTTGAAGAAATGAATGAAGAAAATCTTCCTTCAATATTAATTAGAATAATTGTATGTAAGTTTAGAACAAACTACCTGATACTTCGGAAAAAGTAACCTGTTTTTACAGTTCATGATAAGTTTGTTGTTGATTTCGGGACTCTGTAATTATTGTCTTTCCGCACGTGACATCTGAGTGTCGCATGAAGCTGATTAAGATGGGGATAGAGTGCATTCGTGTTCAGATAAATTTGTTTCGGGTGAACGCGACCTTTATCGTTCGAATATTTCAAACTGTGAACAGAGCGCAGGTACGGTCACACTGTGTCCAACACGTTCTGTTGAACCCTACCTACATTGCAAGTTGACACAACGATTTCAAGTGAACTTCAGTTATTAGACAGAAACGAATTGTTCAAAATAAACTGAAAAGCTGTGTGAAGTAACAACGATTCAATTCTCCTAAATTAAGAGTATGTAAGTGATTTGTAGAATAAGTGGATGAAATTGGTACATGCTTTCTGTCCAACATTAACCTAACTTTACTAATGCAAATGTAAAATTTATTGTACAAGAATACCAATCATGTCACATCAAACATATCACATATTACATACAGCTCTCTCCGACCTCTGTCACAGTTTTTGATTCCATTACATGTCGAATAAAAAAAGTAATGATTTGAAGGCGCATCTCTGATACATTTTGGAAAGTCCCTGACACATATCGAGTGCACTTCGAGCGTGTCCGTTCAGTACAATCAAAGGGCCGTTCGCGCTCGAACTTTTCCTCTCGAACACGTATTCGTTTCGGATGTCCCCTTGCGCGGCCGACCGACCGTCCGCTGGGCCTGGGCGGCAAATGCGACGCGCAAACGACCGGCCTCGCTCCACTCGCGCGCGCGCAAACATATTATTTTACTTTTAAATGGTGGCAGCACTTTGGCTAAAAGCCAGCAGCGAGCCGCGACGCACAAGCCGCTTTATTTCTGTTATGTTGGCTAACGTGAGGCTGACGCTTCATTTACACATACAGTGACAGTCTAATTAATCGACGCACAGAGAGCGGGAACTTTACCAGAGATACCAACCACGCCGGCGGGAGCCTGGGGGCGCAGAGGAAAACAAGAAGAGAGTTCTACAACTGCTCCTTTTTCCTCGGTTCTAATACCCCAAAGAAAATATTTCCATTTTAATGGAACAACATTAAAGTTATTTAAATTTCAAATGGTGGCGCCTCGCCGGGCGAACCAAATGTCGTTGACGGAGGAGGGGCGGCAAAGAGTTGAGTAAGGGGAGGAGAGGAAAGAGGGAAAGGGCGGGAGGAGAGAAGAATTAGCGTGGATACGTCAGAGGCTAAGCAGTTCGACACGTGTTCTTAGGACGCGACAATTTGAATATTGACGTCTCGCTGTCCATGTTGTGGAAGTCACGTGCTGAGGGAACTTCGAAAATTTGATAAAATAAAAGGTAATATAGAAAATGTGCTTTTCAACCCGTGAATTTATTATTCCAATCTTACAATGTTTATCAAGAGAGTCTTTATAGTCTAAACGTAGTCGCCGTGGCTGAGGTGTCATAAATCTCGTATTCTGCCCAGATGTTCATTTTTTGTGAATACTGTTATTTTGGTAAATTCCTTCTAAAAGCTTTTGTGCGCTTGTCTTCGTGTCATGTAAAATTGTTTCTTCCCTTACCAGTACCGGCTCCTCTAAGCAAGTACTTCACATTACATTTTGTTTAATACCTTTCAATAATTTCCTCGTTATTAGTAAAATTTCAAAAATCTGAGAATGGTAACGCGATATAGATGGATAGTTTTAAGAGGTTAGGGAATAAAAGTATCGAATTATAAAAACCAATTTTCTTCTCAAAACTATTATATTGATTCCGGATTTTAGCGTTGATGTGCTCGCCCCTATAACTCCATTCTTCCTCTATCAGTTTTCAAATTGCGAACCGTCAAATTGATATGCAACGTTCTTATCACTACTGCCCTTATTATTCCTTACTCTTCGTTCGGTATTACATAAGTTTGGTTATCTATCATTAAATAACCCTTTACACAGCTCAACTATACTAACACCTCAAATAACTGATGGTATCAACACTAATACTCTTGTTCTTAGATATGCCAACTTACATGACATAATCACTTAAAATAGCTCTGATATACTACACTTTAATACACTCAGAGCTAACAATACCATAAAACAGCAACTGAAAATTGAACTGCTAACTTTTAACTATGCTCAAGTTTAACAATACACCTGAAATAATCATTGAAATATACATTAATGCATTGTAAAATATACATAGAAATATGCAAATAAACTTGGAATAACCACTGAAATACACTAACGCATCTTTAATGACACACTGAAATGCACAAACATTCCTGAAATGATTACAATAAAACTCACATCATAACCCTTTGATTATAATTCTATTGTTAACACCATGTTACCAATTCCATACACATGAGTCAACAAAGTTTGCACTTATGTAAATAAAAAAAATCATTAAACTAGTGTTTCATGAGCTTGAAAACCTTGCAGGCTTCAAATAACACAAATTAATTTTCCTTCTTGAGATTTAAATTGAGTCATCGTTGGTAGGGGGCAACAACCTTGGAGTCATGTGTACGAAATTGTCATAATATATTTTTCAAGCAAAAGAACAAATTTACTTAAGGAATATCTATAATTACATTTATGTAAACTTGCATTACACAATGTCATTTGAAACAACAAGAAATGCTATAAGCAATTTCTTGTATCAATTGCAATATATTAACTAAATACCATGACTATTTGTTATGAGCTTTTAATACTCTTAATTTCTGAATTATGGTCATGATCTTTCTTTATGATTGAAATTATCAGACGCGTGAATATCTTTATAAATTTATGCAATAAAATAGCGTAAAACAAATGTGGTTTTGCTGAAAATACCCGATTACTTTATAATAAACAACATGGAATTAATACCATTTATATTACATACTAGCCTATACAATACACTATCAATTTACCGCTAATTTTAAGTAGACAAAGATAAACATGTTTAACCGCCTTTTCAATGTTGGATATTTCCATCATTAGGACTTGTGGTTCGTCAACCTCGCCATCCCCGTAGTAAAATGACATTAATATTTGCGTTTCAATATCTCTGAGTGTTATTCTCCGCTGCGCCGTCGTCGATTGGGAGCGCTCGATCTCACTCGCACGTCCCAGGGACGACGCTCGCGCCGCTACCGCCAACGCCACCGCCTCAGCTGCCGGCTGCAACGGTCATCTTCACAAAGATCTGGGTATAATCATCATACGTCGCGTATTTCCCTATTTATTATACCACCGCTTAATGCACTGTCGAATGAATTGTAACTTTGTCCGTCCGTCTTACAGTTCAGTTGCCTATACACCCATTACTAGGCGTACCCGTAAAATACACCACTTGCAAGTGCACTATATTGAAATGTTCTGCGATGACCACTGTTCAGCGATATTCACGGATCACAACATGTCTGCATCACACAATGCAAATAATTGTCTTTCGTGCCTAAGGACGCATACGCGTACAATCACGTAGCGCTTGTCTGTAGCCAGTGATTATTACACCCGTGACAAGTCTGTTGCTATTTCTGCATGCTTCACACACCTAAAAAAAGCAATTATCATGTCTTTTGTATCACCGTACTTGGCACGCCGGTATTTGTTCTTACGATTCCGTGATCACTAACGTAGTGCTCCTGTCCTGTTCACAACACGGGCTCTGACGGCCGTCCCACCCCACTGTTTCCAACTGTCGTCTCGCCCATCCACGCCAAAGTCTCAAAGTCTCCGAGAGACCAGGTCGCCCACCAGATGACCGCGTCGATCACGTTTGCGCTCATTCTATAATTTATTCTCTTTGTATATATTAAGTGACCATTGGCTATTTCTCTCTCTCTGTCTCTCTCTGTCTCTATCTCTCTCTCTCTCTCTCTCTCTCTCTCTATCTCTATCTCTATCTATCTATCTATCTATCTATCTATCTATCTATCTATCTATCTATCTCATTCTCTGACAATGACAGAAATTCCTCATAAAACATAGCAGCAGAATAAGTAAGCTCACCTTCCTGGTCCAGGTGATGGTGGGCACGGGGTTGCCCGAGGCTCGGCACTCGAGCGTCACCGTCGCCCCCTTCTTCACGTCCAGCTCCCCGTTCGACGTCACCTGGTGGATGCGCGGAGGCACTGCGCATACAAACACATTCCGCTCATTGCCGCACGCATTACACAACAAATACACATCACCCTTCCAGCCTCGCCACCGCTCACAAACATGGCCCACTATTCCACCCCCACATTGCTGCTCTGCTACTACACACACACACACAACCACATTCCGCTCATTGCCGCACACATTACACAACAAATACGCATCACCCTTCCAGCTCCTAAGCACATACACAATCACATTAGCCTCGCCACCGCTCACACACATGGCCCACTATTCAACCCCACATTACTGCTCTGCTACTACATACACACAAATTCCGCTTATTGCCGCACACATTACACAACAAATACACATTTCCCTCTCTGCCACCACCATCACACAAACATTTCATAACAAATTTACATTGCTGTCTCACTCTATCTTTGCCACCATCTCCCCCACACGTATTACAAAAAAAGCACATAACCCTCTCTGCCACAACCACTTCACGAACGTTACGCAACGAATGCACATTACTCTCTCACCATATACACACATTACACTCACTTGATAGGCTGTCACGTAACAACAAACAAATAAATAATGAAGGCAAGTCACGCTTCGGTTGTGAAAATCACATCCCGTACGGGAAGCGTGTGCGCTTCGGGTAGAAAGAAACTTTTACTTACTATTTCACGAAGAAAATCAATCAGAATCTGAGAAACTATAGAACATTTATGTTCTTGAAACAAGGGAAAAATTACATTTCAATAATATAAATAAACTATATTTGATAACATGTTTTCATCTTGATGTACTCATTAGAATAAAAGTGTAATAATTATATAATAATATAATAATAGTGTAATAATTATTTTCTTCATGCGATTCTCAAGAACATACAATCTCGTGCCTTCTAAATTTAATTAAGGACTAAGTATTGTATTTATATTTCATTGGCGTGTTTCTTGTATTACATTAAATATTTTTTTCGAACCCAAAGCTCACACGTACCTTTAGGAGTCAGTAAACACACACACAGAAATGGTTAGAAAATGTCCCATATAATTTACATTGATAGATTTCTTCGCGATCGTCAAAACATTCGATAGGTACTCAAAACATTGGAATTGGACAGCACTTATTGGAAAAGGATAACGTTACTTCTGGAATTCAAGGCAATGTCATAAGCCCACTATTCTTTCTTATCTTTGGAAATGATTTATCGCGATATATAACGTCAAAACTTCGTCTCTTCGCCAACGACTGTATATAATATACAGAATTCGCAGAACAGCATGATATGATTTAACTATAAGACGATTTACATAAAATTTATGGTTGCCAAAGAGCTAATATAAAATAATATAAATGGAAAACACCAAAATGGTGACGAGATTTTGTGGAATCAGAGCTCTTCATACAAAACCCTATCAGCTACTTAATGACGTAGTTCCGCCAGTCTCGAACTATAAATAACTCTGCATCTAACTGGACAGCAAGTTTGAATGGGAGAAATAAACGAAGTATGTAGTGGGTAAAGCTTGGAGATCTTTGCATTTCTTATGATCTTTGTATATCATTATTATTTCTTAAAAAAAAATACGAAGCAAAAGAAATCGCGTATACCGCCCTTGTTAGATCGGTAATGGATTACGGAGCTAGTTGTTGGGATCCGTGCAGAATAGGATTTAAAAAGAGCTTAGAGAGGATACATAACAGGCAAGCAAAATACACATTTCGGAGAAATATACCTGCGCATTGCGAATCATTAGAACACCGAATAAAAAGAGCACGACTTTGCACACTGTATAATTCTACACTGCTTGCTCTGCATGGTAGGAAATTCAGAGATAACTAAATGAGCCAGATTATTTAAATAGATATGATCACAAATATAAAATTAGAAATGAACACAAGGAACAAATGTAGGTAAATTCTCCTTTGTAAACAGAACGATTGGAACGACAGATTGACAGAAGGACAGAATGGAACGATTTCCCTGAGGCAGTTTTTGAGCCCTTTCCTTGCTCAGCGCGAGGATTTAGGGGGGAAAATACAAAACTAGTAAATAGGGTGAAAACATGTAGTGACGTGAAGTAAACGGTATGATTATTACGAAGTCTACATTTAAAATGCATAGAGCAGCTAATGTTTAGGGAATTGGTATGTGGCGCGGTGTACTGAAGTGAAGTGATTTCAATTCTTTGTTTGTTTTGCTAATCTAATACTTCATTGTAAAATAATGTTAACGAGTTTACGTACCGAAAATGAAATAAGTATTACATTTTCGTATTGTATTGTGTTGTTATATAGGTAAAATGTTTATCCATATTTGTCTGAATATTCTTATGAGTAAAAAAATGCAGGTTTGTGTATACGAATACGAGAGGATTCATAGGTCTACGTATGTTTGCAAGTATGTATGTAAGTTAACATGTATGTATCATGTAAGTATTTACGTGTGTATGCATTCATGCACATTTATGTAGTATGTAAGATTATTTATCCAAACATTAGTAAATATGTATTTCGATTTGTAGTATATGTTTGTTGTAAGCACCATCTGCATGTGCTAAGTAGTGAAAATATAATGTGTATATATATATATATACAATTTATATATATATATATATATATATATATATATATATAAATTGTTTTTCCATGTTTCTGCATTCTGCCACCAGCCACATATGCCCAATCGCAAAACAAAACTTCCATCTATCTCACATTGTGAAGCCGCAACCCACCGCGCAGCCTATTCTTGGCAAGAGGTCGACGACCTTCAATGTTGTTATCTCGTTTTTCAATTCAAATAAGAATTGATCTAACCTGGTAGGCCAGTATGAGGTTAACCAAGAGGTAATTTATATTAAACTATCCATTTTTTTCTAATCGGGCTGGTTTTATTCGGTTTAACTTAAACTGTTTTTCCTTGTTCACTTTTCAGTTACGTCTCGCGAGAAAAAAGAAAGGAGAAATACAACTTTGTCGTAACTAAGAAAAATATATAAAGAAAGCTAATAAAGTTCTTTAGTTGCCACGAAAAATGACGACTCTTCAGGCGTCTGGGAGAAAAAGTGAAAGGGTAAGGAGGGGCGGTTCTCTGGGCAAGGGTGCTCTTACATACATAGATCTCAGGGGCCCGCGCCCCTCACCTTATTGTGTCATAGTTAATATTCAATATTCCCGCCAATAAGTTAATCCCAGCTATTTCCCCATGTTACACAGTATTGTAACGTATTAGCCAGCGTGCCTCGTGGCATCTATTTGGGGACGCTTGGGAGAGGATTAGCCTCGCCACAGGAAGAAGAGTTTTTCCGTAAAGGGAAGAACGCGGAAACGGGAGACACACGGCTTTGGGAGTCATCCGGCCTATTCACTGTTATAACAAGCGAGGGGATGGCGTGACGTAGTAGGTCACGTGGGCCTCGCCTATATAACAGAGTGTATAGAGCCAGTAGGTGGGTTCTGGAGACGGTGGGAGAACCTCTTGCGTGTGCACGAAACTTGGCCCCACGACGGTGCATATGCGAGCCCGGCTCGCGAGGCTCGAGTCATTAGTTGACGAAGCCTGCGGACTTTATGTCCTTGGGTGACTGCGGTCACGGGGGAGCGATGCTGTGTGCGTGCTCCGAGGTTAAGAGTGGTTGAGTGCCACGATTCACGCCGATTCTCAATCGGATAAGATCGCTCCTGCGATCGAGGCAAACCAGCCGTTGGTGCGCCAGAACGGACTTTGTGTCCCAGCGTGACATCCGGTCACGGAAGCTAGGCTTTGTGCGCGCTTCAAAAGTAGGAGTGGCGAATGCCGCAATCAAAACCATCTTCAATCGGGTTTGGATCGCTCCCGCGATCAGGGGATAGTAGGTTTATCAGAGCTAGGGTGTAAGTAGATTATTAAGTGTATATATTTGTTTTGTTTTACTTCTTACTAAATATATTTGTTATATGAAAGCTCTGTGTCTGTGGTCGCTGTGAGTATCCATGACGTCACAATATATTACATCGTAATTCAAATAATTGTACAGTAACGTACTTCACTTGAACTCTAGCAAGTTAAAATCCTACACTCATTCCTGTCGATCCATTTCCATATTTATTTCATAATATATATTCTTTTGAAAACTCTATTATCCTCCGTCACATGTTCTCTATGTCTCATCACTCTCACTCAACAGATTTAAAATGACAGTACAATTCACTTTACAAAACACATTAATATAAACTATTCCTATTAAACTTTATTACCGAACAGAGAGACTCTGCACGTCTCTCAAGTGGTGGGAGACAATCAAACACCGCCGAACTAGCAAAAATGTAATACAATTTCTGATATTACGATATGAGAAACGTTGTTTTGATGCCTTTCGCCTCCTAATTCTAGGTATTAAAGCCATAGAGCGCTTCGTTTTAGATTAATATAACTATATAGATTTCAACAACGTTGCACGAGTGTTGCGGGTTGTATTTAACATGAATATTTATATGCGTTTTTTATCAACAAATCTTTCATATTGTTTAAACTTAAAGTTCAATTTGCCAAGTCATCATTAAACTATCTTTTTTTAAAGACCCTGTTTATCAAGATTTATCAAGAAACTCATTATATGCAGTAGTGAATATTTACTCTGACATATTTAAACATGAACACAATCAAAATGTGGAAGTGCGATAGAAGTTGCAGGAAAATACTCTTCTTAATATTCGTACATTATTTGCATTTCCTACACAATCCTCAGAAATAAAAACAAGAGACATAGAGCGTCAAGTATACTCAAGAGAAACACAAATTTGGTACATAATTAAACAAAATAATTAAAGCATCAGACAGAGTTGTTTTAGTAATAATTATTTCACACACAAGGTTTTGGAGAACAAAGTATCTTCTAGCAGAACAATTATTCTACAAACACAGGATAAAAGCATATTATGAAATATTTCATTCCTATAAACGTTTGCTCGAAAGATCGGTTATTCTGTTTATTTGCTTGGCTTTTCCTAAACACCCTTCAGCGTTGCATTAAAAGCG